AGATGTGAAAACAGTTAGGATCCGGAAAGCCTGGCCTGCCGTCCCCGCCTGCGTCCCAGACAGACGGAGCACCCTGCCAGACGGCTGATCCCCGCTGCGCGGATGGGCAATGCCTGGGGAAGCTGCTTGTTGGTTTCCATTGGAGGGAGGAGGGGGCACAGGTCTCGCTCCCAGGCCTGGCAGCTGCGGGGGGCTGCCCAGGGCACATTGCACACGCCTGGGCCTGGGGCCGAGCCGGGGGCCGTGCAAGCGGCAGCAGTGCCCGGGCTGGGCTGCGGCTCCGCCAGCCTCTCCGTCCCTACTGCCCCGCGCCGTAGGGCCAGTTGAAGGTGCTGCCGGAGAGCAGCATGTCCCGGATTAGTGTTTCGATGGGCGTCTTCCCCACCAGCCTCATGAAGAAGAGCTGGGAGATGAGCGAGGCAGGCACGGCCCGGAGCGCCGGGAGCCGCAGCAGCAGGCGCCCGAAGCGCTGGGGCTGCGACGGGTACTGGGCCCGCACGTACTCGGTGAGCGCCACCTGCGCCTTCTCCTGCAGGCTCTCCACGTGCGCCGGGTCCGAGAGGCCGCAGGCATCTGCAGAGGGAGGGGGGAAGGGGCGTCAGCAGGTGCCGTGGAACGAGGTGGCAAGCCACGAGAGGTTTGCCACCGATCTGGCGGAGGGTGCTGAGCCGGCGGCTCCGGCATTTCCCCCCAGACGGGGTGCGCTGGACTCCAGCACCCTGCCCTTCCTGCCAAAGGCTTCCAGCCCCGCGTGGGGGTTGCCATCCCACCATCAGGATGCACTAGTGGCGTTCCCCAGCACGAAGCCCAACCCATGGGGCTCTTCATCTTCCCTGTAGGGTGGGGAGAGGGTAACTGCACAGCTGGCTTAGCCCCAGAGTGAGGGTGCTTGGGGGGGGGATCTCTAGGGTGGGCCTGGCCCCTCCTTCCTGCTTGCTTAATGCAAGGGGTCTTCGGTATCACAGATCAGAGCTGGGGTCTCTCTTATAGTACTGGGATGCAGGAGATGCAGCCTGATCCCCAGCTCTGCATGAATCAAAGCCCAGCGGAGCTGGGTGCTTTCAAAACTCCCCCCCATGAGGCATTTGTGTGTCTGAGGCACCTAAATCCCTTCACCAGCCTGGCTCTGGTATCTCTCCAGGCCTCAGTTCCCCACCTATGAGCCAGAGGCAATGAACTTCCCCACAGAGGGTGGCTGGGGGGCAGCCCCTGGCACTGCAGCACGCATGGGCCCCGACCTACAGGCAGGTGCCGCTCACCTGGGGTGAAGAGGGCAATGGCTTTGAGGCAGCTGTACTCGGCCGAGTCCACCTGCAGCCGGTTCAGCTTCTCCACCTGGTCCTGGAAGATGCGGATCTGGTCCATGAAGGAGACCACGCGATCGGCGGACATGGGCGAGGCGTGGAAGCCGGCGGCAGCCAGCAGCGGTGCCATGTGCAACGGGAGCGCCGACTGGGCCGCGTTCAGCACGAAGAGCTCGCTCCAGCTCAGGCGCAGCAGGGCCACCTGGTCCGAGACGGGCAGCTCGGGGAAGAAGGGGATGTTGCGGGCCCACTCCACCGTGCTGAAGAGCAGCCGGGCAGCCAGCTCGCAGATGTTGTCGATGCCCATGATGCTGCCTTGCTGGGCGTACTGGGAGCCGTAGCGGGCGGCGGGGTACGGCTCAGCCCGCAGCAGCTGCGAGATGAGTTCGGAGACGGGCTGCCCGTTGAAGTACTCCCCGCTGGGCATGGCTGTGGGGCTGGCGCTCGAGTGGGTGGGCGGGATCCGGCCCCTCTGCACGGCTGGGGAGGCAAAGGGCGCGGGTGAGAGTCTGGGCCGGTGCCTCAAATGCCACCCCCGTCAGCACAGACGTATGATACGGCCCTGCCCCAATGAACCCGATGCTTAGAAACGAGGGAACACGTGGCTGGGGAAACTGAGGCACTGAGCAGCAGGCAGGTGGCAGAGCTGGGCCAAGGACCCAGGGGTCCCCACCCCAAACCCACACCCCATCCACAGCCAGTGGGAGCGTGCGCAGACCCACAGCATGCTACGTAAGGCCCCTCTTGCCGGCGGGGCTATGAACCAGGGCCCTCAGTGCCCAGCTGGGTCCTCCCCACCCCCAGAGCCGAGGCGGCGGGGGCAGGCGAGAGCTGGCGCAGGAGGCGGCGTGCACTTTGCCCGTCGCACACGGCAGCTTGCTGCCTCCGCAAACAAGATGAATCTGTTTAGCCTCCTGGCGATCAGACCGGACTCGTTAGCTGGGGGAGGGGCAGAGACACTAATAAGCTCCAGCTTGAGTAAGGGCTTCCCAGCTGCTGTGCCAGGTACCGGAGGGCTTGCAGGGCCAAAGCAGCCCCATGATGCTGGGTGCGGCCTGAGACGGAGCCCTCCGGTTGCTGCAGGCTCTGGAGTTGCCCCGACTTCTCCCAGCTCAAAGCAACCGGGGAAGAAGGGGATGCGGTGGGCCCACTCCACTGTGCTGGAGAGCTGCCGGGGTGCGCCTGCTTCAGGGCATCACTGGAGGAGCGAGGGATGTCTCGGTCCTCTTGCAAAAGCAGCCCGGGGTGGAGAGCCAGCGGAGACCGACAGCCCTGGGGAGCTGAGGGCACGGCGCGCCATCCTTCTGCTCGGCCGTTCCCGCTGCTCCCCTGCCCCGTGGCATCCAGCGCCCGCCACCGGGGCCCTGCCTCTCGTGGGCTGACGCCACCGTGGGCTGGGCGTGAAGTGTGGCGGCTGCAGAGGAGTAGGGGCACACGCGAGCTGGAAGGAGCCTCTGCAGTGTCCGCCCCTCCTACCAGCTTCTCCCAGCTCCTCTCAGCACGCTGTGCATGGATGCGCGTGCTCCCTGATGCCAGGAGCCCTCCTGGGGATCCAGAGCAACCAGCCGGGCTCACCTGCGGCCCCAGAGCTCCCTGACCACAGTGGGCGGGGAGAAGGGAGAGGGCTCACATAGAGGAGTTGGCCCTGAAAACTTTGGCCCAAGCTGCTGCTTTGGAAAGACCCTGTGGGGCGAGGAGCACCGAGACCTGCCGGGCTGGAGCTGGCAGCCGGTCCAGAGGCGAGGCCAGGAACCGCAGCGAGACTTCATTCCTGCCCTGCCCTGCCCTGGAGCATGAGGCTTTCACCATTGCAGAGCCCGGGGTGTTGATAAGCCTCTCTAAGGAGGCAGAATGGGCAGAGTCTCCCTAGAAACAGCTTCCCGAAACAAGCTGCCCCCAGGCTCAGGCAGGTCCAGATGACACAGACTTTGCCGGGAGCCCGGAGGCGCTTTGGAAGGGCCCTGGGTTCAGGTCCCAGTGCAGGAGGAGCAGCCGCTAAGCAGGGCTGAGTCAATGCTGGAGGGCGAGGGAGCTCCCATCTGTGATCTCAGGCGCCTGCGTCACGTGGCCACATCCGTGGCTCCAGGTGTGTCCCCTTATCTGCACCAGCCCTTGGCTCTCCAAACACGCAGCACCTGCTCTGCCGGTGTCGCCTGCCCCAAGCGCTCGGCCAGAGAAGGGACATGATGGGCACTGCGGCCACAGTGCCTACCCCAGCGTGGCAGGGAAGGCTCGGTGCATGTGGGCAGGGGAGGGCAGCCGTGCTGCAGAGGGTGGGGTATGCCGGGACCTGTCTGTGTATCCTTAGCCTGGTGCCACCTCGCCCCCCAAATCCAGCAGCTGCTAAACACTAGGTCCCCTGGGCCAGGCACAGAGCAACACCCTGGAACGAGCTCAGATAACCTGAGGGGAGCCCAGCTCCCTTGTGAACCAGCTGCCCGGAGCCCCAGCAGGCCGGTGTGCTCTGGCACCAACGCGGCCTGTACTGCACGCTGGCCGGGTGTGCAGGAGCCCTGTGCACCTGGCCAAGTCCCCCGGTGCGTTTGCACTGGCCCGGTTCACTCCATGACATTACAGCAGCTCAGAGGTGGCTCTAAGTTTCTCCCCGTCCCAAGTTACCAGCCCCGCTACCTTCTTTCCTCATTCCCACGCGGAAGCACTTCTTCAGGCGGCAGTACTGGCATTGGTTGCGGTGGTGCTGGTCGATCTGGCAGTCCCGGTTCGACCTGCAGGGAAATCGGGTGGCAGTGAGCCACCGGGTGGGAGGCAGCATCGCCCGTGGCCTCCACGAGGACACGGAGCCCCCCCAGCCAGCATCCCGGAGACGGCGTGTCTCCACGCAGGACCGGCAGGGCACCGCCGGGGTCTGGGAATCCCCATCCTGCGGAGAGGGTGGCGGGCTGGGCCGGGGACCCAAGCCAGGCGATGCCGCGAGGTGCTTCCCGCCCTCCCAGACGGGGCGCGAATAGGGGGAGGGCTCTGGTGAACCGTGCGTGCTCTGCGAGTCTCCCGGGGGAGCCCGGCACAGCAGTTGCAGGCTGGCGTATCGCCGCGGCTCCAGGCGTATTGAGGCCAGCTGGGCTCTTAGCACCTTGCACTGCAGCATGCAAGGCTAAGGGGAGGGGGCGATGCCTCTGAACCACCGCGAAGGGCAAATGCATGCGGGACACGGCTCCACGCTGCCCTCGGCTCCCTCCCACCGCGCCCTTGAGCCTGCTTGGCCGGCCCGCACGGGCACATGCTCATCCTCCTGACCAGGGGCCCAGGCCTCGGCCGGGGGGGAGGCTCCAAGAAGTCGCTCAGCGAAACCATCCCACAATGCTTTGCTCCCCCAGCATGGCCAGGCCCCCCTCCCCGGGAGAGGCGCAAGGAGAGGGCAGAGGAGTTAAACTGGAAACAGCTGAGTGCGCCGGCCTTTTGTTCCCGGCCTTGCCCGGCAGCCCGAAGAATTCCAGCTATTTCCTATGAGGACGCGGGGCGGCTGCCTCGGCCGAGGGGCAGGGTCATATCTCTGCCCAGCACACACAGCTCATTTACCTGCAGCGCTAAGTAAACAGTAACCGGGAGAGCGAGCGAGCGAGCAGCCGATTGCTTTGCCAGGCACTGAGCGCTTGCAGATTTATGTTTGCGGGTCCCTGCAGCATTCGCCTCCATTACTCACGCTGGGCCTGTGCAGGCGATCCGCCCCGGTCCCACCATCCCACCATGAACCAGGCACGAGCTGGCACGCGGGCGGCTCTGCCTTGTGGTACCAGGGGCAGTGCCCTGAGCCTGCTGGTGATGCACGCAGCCATAGGATGGGTGGTCCTGGGAGAGGACCAGCCAGCCCAGGGTGGCAGGGAGGGGACACAGGGGTAGCACAGGACTTGGTTGGCGCTTCAGGCTCCTACATGCGTTGCTGGAAAAAAATCACAAGGCCAGACTCGCTCCTGGATGGCCACTGGGCTCTCCTGGAGCCAAGGAGCTGTGCAAGGCTCGGGGCAGAAGCTGAGGTACGTGGATGGGAGAAGGATCGTCCGAGTGCAGGAGGTGGCAGGTGAAACGGGGGGAAAGCACGATGCCCAGGTGTGGCCAGGGACACGCCGGCGTGATTTGCTCCCTTTGCCGCCGTCAGGAGCAGGCTGCCCCCGCCACACAGCAGCTTGGGAGCAGGGAGCTCTGGGCTGGCTTGCAGGGCTCTGCTCCCAGGGGCTCGTCCACGATGGAGCAGGGGCGCCCAGCAAGAGAGGAAGGAGCCTGGCTCGCCCATGCCGGGACCCAGCCTCTGCGCGGCCCACTCCGCTAGCCCCAGGCAAGCGTGCGCAAGGGCAAAGCTGCCTGGCCTGGGCTGCCTCCATCCCGGGCAAGACATGGACTAGAAAATGAAGAGAAGCAAACAGGCCCTGGGTCTTTGATCCAGGCCTGTATAACCCCCAGCTCCCCCAGGATCCTGTACCCCTCCACACCAGCCTAGCAGAACCATTAGGCTTCTCTGAACAAGGCAGCCAGCCTCCCGACTTCCTTTGGGATCCCTGAGAGGCGAGGAGGTGCTTCAAAGTCCTGCTGCATCAGGGGAGGGTTTTAAACCCATCAGCTCAGGGCTGACCACAGACAGGCGACCTACTGAGTGCAGCGGTTGGGAGCACCGAACACAGCGTCGGCTGGAGCGAGCCCCGGGAACCAGGGACTGCTTGGGACTCGTGAGGTTTGCTAAGCAGGGAACAGCAGATATTGCGGGACTCCAGGGAAGTCAAGGATGGGGCTAGGAAAAGGCTTCCATACCCCTCACCCTCAAATGTCTTTGCTGATTGCTGGAACAGGCTGACCCCCTGCCCTGTGCCAGTAGGCTCGCTGCACATCCCAGCTGGGGCACCTGGGTGAGGAGCCCTTAGAGAAACCACCCGTAGCAAATTGACAGGGGTGAGACAGGCGGAGGTGCAGACGGAGCCGGGGGCTCGCCAGCGAAGGCGTCGCTAGCAGAATAGGGCACAGTCCAGCCGATTGCCAGGCAAAGCCACCCACGGAGCCGTTCCTCCAGCGCAGCATCTCGGCCTGGCCGGGCCTCCAGATCCTGACATGAATATCCTGGTTTTTACATGACTCTGGAGAAGAGCCACGCTGGGATTCGGCAGCAGCTCAAACCGGAATTAATTTACCCTGAACATCGCCACTGTGTTTAACACATTGAAAACGTGTTGCTGATAAAAGTTATTCTAGTGGAGAGGTGAGAGCTAATCAAAATGTCAGATTACATCTTCATCACCTGCCTGCCTTCCCGGGGTTTTGGGGGGTGGAGGCCTTGCCACCGTTCACGTGGCGAACCCGGCGGTGTGCCCGGTTCGGGATCTGCCCACGGACCTGCCTACGACCCCTGCTTTAGGCAAATCCCTTTGGAGAGCTCCAGGCCAAAACCAGAGCATTGCAGCACTCTCCTGATCTGCCCTGCTGAGCATCTGACCCTAGGATTGCAGCAGGACCCAGAGTTGCAGCTCTGTAGACCTCGGAAACCTCAAACGGCTCCACAGCAAGCCAGGGGCTCTGACCGAGTCCCTCCACGGCCGCGTGCAAGCTGCACGGGGAAACGGGAGCACCCGACAGGCATGCATTGTGCTAATTGTGTAATTAGAACATGTAATTATTGAGTGCCGGATCTAAGCGGGATCCAACACACCTTTTAATATTCAAATGAGGGCAATCGGGGCCAGATGCTGCTCAGAGCCTTTCGATGAAACGCGCTCGGCGGCTGGCATGGAGTCGCTGAGCTGAGGACACGCGTGTTCCTACATCACACTAAACTCACTCCCAGTGCAAAAGGGGCAACACTAAGTCGTCCCCCCCACAAAGAGCTGCTTCGATTCCCTCCCCCCTGTACTGGATGACATCCTAGACATGGACACAAGGGTGTCGGGCTGTTGGGCAGCAAAGGAGGGGCAGCTGCATTCAGGATTTCCAGGCCCGGGCTGTGGAGCTGGTCTGCTCTTCCTCACGCCTGCATCCCTGGATGGTCCCCATGACCATCTTCCTTCGCTGACCCCCAGCACTGCCTCTGTGGCCTGCTCCCTTTGCCGTGGCAATCGCAAGATGCAAACCCACGCTCGCTGCCTCCGACCCAGCACCTGTGCCTCAGCAGACTTACAAGAGCCCCACAGAAGACCCTGGACGGTCCTCTCTCAGGGAAACTGAGGCACGAGAGCGGGGATAATGAAAGGCTACCCACACTGCCAGACGCCTGGGAGGATGCTGCAACCTTCCCTGCCTTGAAGTCTGGGGGCCGGGAAAGGATCGCACCCAGCATCACCGCTACAGAACGGATCCTGTGCGCACAGGCCGCGCATGCGAGTGTCACGAGCCGGCCTCCCTGGTGCTAGGAGCCGAGGACCCGACCTCCTGCCCCAGAAGAGCGGGGGCTGTAGTGACGGAGGGCATGGGATGGCAATCTAGGCCACGGAAATGGAGAGCAGCTGGAGGAAGGAAGCATGCTGCCAGGGGCCCCTCCCTCCCGTGGTGCTCACCAGCGAGGCCTGGGCTGGAGGTCACCACGCTCACCCCTGCAATGTGGATGGGGCAACCAAGGCACAGAGGGGTGCAGTGACTTGGCCAAGGTCACCCGGAGGCCAGTGGCAGAGCCAGGAGCAGAACCCAGGTGTCCGGCTGCCATCCCCGTGTGGCCTGCTCCTGAAGCCGCCCTCCCCAGCGATGCCCTGGGGCTGCGGCGATGGCCCCGCAGGGTCCAGCACGGAAGAGCGCGCAGGTCCGAGTCGACCGGCCCGCGGGAGACGTCGGCCCCGGCCCGGCGGGTCCCGCGGCAGAGCAGGGGTCCTGTGCCCCAGGCCCGGGGGCACGCGTGGCGGTGGCGGTGGCGGTGGCGGGGGGGGGGCTCACCTGCACGTGTAGCTGAGGTTCCTGCGGATGCTGCGCTTGAAGAAGCTCTTGCAGCCCTCGCAGGTGAAGACGCCGTAGTGCTTCCCGCTGGACTTGTCGCCGCACACCACGCAGTCCACCTGCACGCCCGGCTTGTCCTCGTCGCCGTGCTCCGGGTCGCTGGCGCCGCCGGGCGGGGACACGGACTCCTCCTCGGAGCCGCGCGGGTAGCCCTTGTCCAGGCCGTTCGTGTCGCCGCCCGGCTCGCCCCAGCCGCCGGCCACCATGGCCATCGCTCCGCCGGCCGGCCGGCGCGGCGCCCACTTGGGCAAGT